AAAGCGCTCACATCAGGGATCTATGCTAAACCTTCGAAAGCGCTTGTTGTCACTGGTTGCAATCTCTCGCATGTTCTCAGCCCGAGACTTCAGTCGAATTCCCAAACCAAGAGCAATCCTTGGCTTCGTCTGCCCTGTCTTTCCTTTCTGCTGTGTTGTGTCTTCTCGCATTTTGGACCATGTCGTGTCGCTATGTGATGTCATATAATGTCAGGTACAACAGCACCCTAAACCTTAAACCCTAAGCCCTAAAGCTTGGCATCAATATCGTGAAGCCTTGAGAGGCCTTCTGGAATCTGGATTTCGGTCTCGCATTTCTCACCGGCTTCTATGACCAGGCAGGCTCATGCGTTGGGTGCGGGTGAAGGCTTGTGTATTCGAAAATATCAGGTTACAGTATCATGTAGTATATCATATATTCCAGTACAGTGTATACATGTGTAGAAACGGTAAAGTATCGTAGATGGCAACATTTCACACCGTATGGGTGCACACCTTGTTAGCTTGCAGAGGGATGGTCGTGTTCAGGGTTTAGGGTCTAGAGGTCAAGGGTTCCGGGTTTAGGGTTCAGGGTTTAGAGGTTAAGGGTTCCGGGTTTAGGGTTTAGGGTGTGGGGGTTTAGGGTTCAATGGGATGTCGATGATTTTGCAGAGCAGGCTGCCTGCCGTTTTGTCAAGTCCCCAGAGCTTTGTGCCGACTCAGACTTGGCAGCGTCTCAAACACTAAACCCTAAACCTTGAAGGACATAGATGTGTAGAGAACTGCACGAGCTGGACATGCAAAATGCACTGACAACCAAGGGACCTGCAAACAATCCACCCACTTCCTAGAGACAAAAGCTCCTGACCCCGCAAGCCTCGAGTTTTTGTGCGTCAGGGATCTCTGGTGATGGACCGAGTCGCCGTGGCCCGGCAATATGCGAAGACTTGGATGGTTTTCGACCTTTTCCTCATTCTCATGGACTGGCCGCTCTTCTTCTTTGGCTTAGGAGTTTACATGTTGAGATCCAGCGTTCTTGGGTCAGGGCGGCTTGGGGTTTAGGGTCCAATGTTTCAGCCGCAACTTAAGGTCCAGCAGTGTTGGATCAGGACGGCTTTGGTTCGAGAGCTTCGGGTCCGGTGCTTTCAGATTGACTGAAAACCCTGGACGGGGACAGTTCCTCTCTTTAGCGTTTGCCACTTGGTCTTGAACCCTGTCTTGTTTAAGGCTCTTGAAATATGAGGTTGATGATGATGTTCATGTTGACCACGAGAATTTTGATGGTTCCAATTTGTTCCAATGGTAACAGATAATACTAATTCTGCTGCCAATGTTATCGATTGTGTCTCGCATAATCGTTCATTGCGGCCGCGATGGGCGACTGCACGCGAGTACTCGAGCATACGCACGAGTACGCTCGAGTACGCTCGAGTACGGTCGAGTACGCTCGAGTGCGCTCAAGTACGCTCGAGTACGTTGGAGTACGCACGAGTACGCTCGAGTACGCTCGAGTACGCACGAGTACGCACGAGTAGGCACGAGTACGCACGAGTACGCACAAGTACGCTCGAGTACGCACAAGTACGCACGAGAACGCACGAGTACGCTCGAGTACTATATATCGCACGAAATCTGTTTTGTATTTGGTTTCGTACATACTTATTAGTATTCAACATTCCAATATATGGCATACCTTATATACTGCATATACTATACAGTACATATATGTGTATATATATATATATATGTATGTACGTATGCATCTATGTATGTGTGTATATACGTATAACGTTTAACACATGATACATGTTATACAATGTTCAATACATAGTTTTCCATTGTGCGCGGAAATAGGGCCCACGCTCTGCTAAACCCGCCAAACCCGTAAAACCCGTTAAACCCGTAAACCCCGTAAAACCCGCTAACCCGCTAGAACCGTAAAACCCGCTAAACCCGTAAAACCCGCTAAGCCCGCCAAACCCGTAAAACCCGATAAACCCGCTAAACCCGCAGGGGCGCCCATCACTCCCTTCTTCCTGGAGTTCAAGGTCATGAAAAATCCCCCCCCCAACCCGTAAAACCCGCTAAACCATCAGGGGCGCCCCATTAGTCCAAGGCTCCGTCCTCGGAGTTCAAGGTCTGTAAGAGTTCTGATTTAGAAAGCAGGGGCGCCCCATGAATCCAAGACTCAACCATCGGAGTACAAGGTCTGTAAGAGTTCAGATTTACAGAATCAGGGGCCCCATCGTCCAAGGCTCCGTCCTCGGAGTTCAAAGTCTGTAAGAGTTCTGATTTCAATATCAGGGGCACCCCATCAGTCCAAGGCTCCACCCTCGGAGTTCGAGGTCTGTGTGAGTTCTGATTTAAAATTAGGGGCGCTCCATCAGTCCAAGGCTCCATCCTCGGAGTTTGAGGTCTGTGTGAGTTCTGATTTAAAATTCAGGGGCGCCCCATCAGTCCAAGGCTCCATCCCCGCAGCACCATTCTCGAACTTCAAAGTCCGTAAGAGTTCTGATTTATAAATCAGGGGCGCCCCATCAGTCCAAGGCTCCATCCCCGCAGTGCGAAGTTTGTAAGAGTTCTGATGTAAAAATCAGGGGCGCCCCATCAGTCCAGGGCTCCATCCCCGCAGTGCGAAGTTGGTAAGAGTTCTGATGTAAAAATCAGGGGTGCTGCATGAGTCAAAGGCTTCATCCTCGGAGTTCGAGGTCTGTCAGTATGAGTTCTGATTTAAACATCAGGGCTACTCGGCGCTACTCGGCGCTACTCGACGCTACCCGGCGCTACCCGCCGATCACATTACGCAGTCGCGCTTTCCCGTCACAATTTAATCGTTGTTCCTCCGTTTGTTCTTCCTCTTTTTGAAATCTCGTTTCGCACGCTCTTTTATTTATCCGGTACTTCTTCGTGACCTCCCTAAACCCTACACCCTAAACCCTAGCCCTAGCCCGAAGCCCTAAACCCCAAACTGATCGCCTTGATTTCTAGCGAGATCCTCGGCCACAATTTCATGTCGGCAGCTCTGAAGTGCCATTCGCATAGCAAGACTAATGCTAGTACTAGAATACAAACACTAATACGAATACCAATGCGACTCCTAATACTAGTACTCATACTGATACTGCTACTGATGTCAATATCAATTCCTGGTCTTTGAGGGCAGGAGGGGACTAGCACCTAGTGCTTTGAATGGGACTCTGGCCAGGTTCTTGTTAGTGGCAGTAGGAATTGCTTTTGGCACGCAGCTCTCCGCGATCTGGCCTGTGCTAGTTGGGGTGTGAGGTTTGGGGCTGTGCGGTTGGGCTGCAATTTAAGGTTTTGCAGGTTTACGGGGCTTGCTGTTGCAAGATTCGGGGGAGTGCGGGGTTTGGGGGCTGCAGGCTTTGATTGTTTGCCAGGTTTCGGGGTGCTTTCTATCGGGGCTTGGGGCAAGTTCCAGGAGACTTATCCGGCTTAAACCCCGAAGCCCCTGCCTAAGCCCGAGCTGAGGTCCGTGACTGTCATGGACCACGTGACCCTCACCGGAAACCCAGTGGCCTGGCTCGGTGGAGGCAAGTGTAAATTTACTGCTGTTGTTTTTGTTTTTGTTTTTGTTG